TGATTGAGCCAATTACTTCACTTCTACATTCCATTAAACATTTCCTTTTTCTTTAAAGAGTTTTAATTTAACAATAACCATCTAATTTTTCATAATTATATCCATTATTGTACTTCATGTTTAAACTATTCATTTTCTCACTTTTCTTCAGAAAAACTCTTTCTCAACCTTCTTCATCTTTAATTGAAAGTTTCAGCTAACAAAGATTGTTTCTTTTATAATTTTAAATAGTCATTTTATTTTTTATAGAAATATCACTTTTTGAACTATTAATAACGTTTTTAGTATACTTTTATTTTAGTAAATCAACCTTTTTAATTATTGATCTATTCTTTAAGAATTTCTCTTCCTGTACAAGAATTTCATTTAGAAAATCCATTTATTTAACTGAAGAATTTGTTTTTATCTTTCAATTTTTCATTTGTAATGTTATCCATTTGCATAAAAAGGATTTTAATTAAAGCATTTTCCAATTAATTATCCATGCAATGCTAAGTCAATAAACTTAGTTAAAAAATTATTACTCCTTTGAGATAACATTAAAGGAAAAGGTAGGATTATGGGTCAATTTTTATTTTTATTTAATTACATTTTACTTTGTTAAATTATAATTAATAGTCACTTTTCGAAGTTTCTGTTCAATGAAGGGAATAATTAATTTTGTTAGTTAATTATCAAATAATTCATTAATCCATCAGTATTTTATAAAATAACATCATGTCAATTTCAATCAATTTTATTTTTTCTTTAAATCAATTTATTCAAAGCGACATAAACATCATTGAATGTAAAAAAAATATCACAGTTTAACATTCATTAATACTAACTTTCTACATCAGTGTAATTGACAATTCATTCAACAGGAAATTTCGATGCATATAACATACGTATTTATTTATAGAAAACTGTAATTTTCAATGTCTCGGGCATCAAATACTGATAGGAGAAAATTTATTTATGATAGTGTTTATCACAGTGTACAGAAAAAAATTCCCCAGAAATTGATCATGTGTAAGATAAAACGGAAGTAGGTAATTCCAAAATGATTTGTTTTCACATTAACGATTCATGCAGATTTGTATAGAATTAAAATTAATTGCAAGATGAAGAATGAAGATTGAGAGATAGAAGTGTGTGGGAGTAAAGTGGGTGGTGTTTTAGTATAAGTCATTCTTCATAATTTCTCATAAAAATGTCTTCTTTTTACTTTTATATCATTCGTTTATACTTCTCTCTAAGGAGATATAAATTTTATTGCTTTATTACATTGTATTTATATCGATAATATCGATTGGATATTGTATGAAGCTAAAGTTGAGGGGCAATCGTGACTTGGACTTTCAAATGAGAGAAAGTTTTCAAATTGTTATACATATATCTATTCAATAGAACACATTATGTTATTTATGTATTCAGACTTTTTCCCGGGAGCATTGATGATGCGTTTGAAACACATTAGGAATTCAATTAGACTCACATCTTTGTCGAATGACAATGAACTCGTTGGAGATTCAGACGTAAGGATGAGAAGATATCCTAGATAGCATCATGAAAAAAAAAACTTTTCTCAAGTGAAAACATACGTTTCTCTTTGATATGTCATTCTGATGTTGATTTAAATTTATTATTTGTTAAGGAATTGGAATAAAGTTGAATATAATTGTTAGATATTTGTTTGAAGAGCGGATAAATAGTATGACAAGTGGAAAAAATAAATAGAGTTGGAAAGTTATAAAGTAGCAAAGTTTATGAAAAAGATATTAAACATTTGTTGGACTATTAATTTTATCTTGGAGAGTCTAGTTCATTGGTATAGTAGTTAATGAATCACCGTTTATTTGAAGTAATGTGAATTTAATTTATACTGATATTTATGTGAATGTCGTCACAGTTCAATGATTACTTTCTTTGCAATAATTGGTATGGAATGCAATTTAAAATCATAAATTAAAATAAATAAATTCAAAGTAAAACAATTTTCGAAATTAAAATTACAATTAAAAATAGTTTAAATTCTTTCCAAGAAACCATTAAATAAAATAAAAACAATTAATTGCAAATATTACAGTTTAATCCAGATGAATATGATCTCTTACCCAGAATTCGGTTTGAGAACAAAATTAAACCCGAAATGACTATAAACGCATGATTGCTAATTGCATGAAACGAGATTTGGCCTGATTCAGTAAAATTGATTTCCAAAAAAGTTGAATGACACATTGAAGAGTGACTCAATCGAATTGGTTGGTACATTTGTGCTGACGTTTGGTCTGATGACCAGAAAAAAATTTCACTTGGCAAAACGACGCGGCCTCGTTTAGAGTCTACAGGGACGATTCGTTCACATTCCAACAGTGAATATAACATAAGAGAATCCACCGGCTCAGTTTCCATAATGACTTTTTTTACGTTTTTAAATGGTGAAACAAGCTATATACTAGGGATTACAGTGATGAGGAAAATTCTTCACCTCAAATAGAACCATTTACGTTTTGGTTTCTGATTAGAAACATTTTAACCATGCAGTTAAACAAGTGTCGCCTTATCACGGTTGACAAGACACCATTTGTCTTACAATCATCGGAAAAACATGATAGAAGAACACTTATTACACGACTGAAATATTTATTATTCTACTTAGCAGGAAAAAATAGATAAATTTAAATAAAAATTAAGCTCTTCATTAAATACTTTAGAGTAGTTTAGCATCAATTGATCAACAGCAACCTTTTGATCAAAATATTACCACAGTCAGTCCTTGATCAATCATTAATTTAAATTTAACATTTGATTTTTTAAATAATTAATAAGAATTTTTGAACAGTTTTGCAATTGGAAAATTCAATTACAATTTCTGTGTTCAATTATGATTGAATTCTAGAGTAAATTCCAAAATAATCATAACAACAAAACATCCCAGGCATGTTTAATTTCTACAACTAATTAAGTAAATTTAATTATTGATGATTTGATGAAAATAGCTAACAACAAGTTATTAATATTTCATTTCATTTTCATTTATCAAACAATAAATGGTGAGGATATTTTTTCTCCAATAAAAGCATAGATTATCTGAATAAAAACTATCCGCTATAGTGATTGTATCGTTTAGTCTTTCATAGAGAAAGGTTTCGCAATAGTCAATATGTAATAAATCACATCTACAGTGTGAAAAGTATCGAACAATGACCCATTATTATTAGTGTCAAATATCGAAAACTTGACGAGAGCTGTCTGAACTCAATGTTATATAAACCTTATTAGCCAAACAAAATAATAATTGGTTCATGATTCGTATTCTAAGCTTTACATTTTATCGTAAGTAATTTTATATCCAAAATAATCGATTGAATTTATCTAATGGCACAATTTGTAAATGAATAGTGAGTAATTCATTTCATGTTCTATCAACATTATTCTGTCGGAATATGATTCATTTAATATGTCTGTATACACATCAACTTTATTCTTCAAAATAAAAAGATTTTGTTGGCTAAAACAAAAGGGTTTGTTAGATAAAATTCATGAGTTAAAACTAGCAGAACCCTCCGCTATAATCTTTCATTTCCCCTTGAAAGTTATTCAGCAAAAACTGTAATGATTTTTACATTATGAACCTGATAATTAAAAGGGTTAATGAAATGATTAATTGTTGAATTAAAAATAAATAATTGTTTCATGCTTATTAAGTATGACAAGGATAATTGATTAAAATCATAAATAATGTTTTTAGGGAAATGAGCTTTATCAGTGGTATAAAACAAAAGCTGTTTGAAAAAATATTGTTCTACATTATTTATCAAGACAAAACCTAAATCATGCATAAGTGGCTTTTAAAGAAGTACTTTACTCTTAAGTTCTTGGCCCAAGTGTTCTCTTTGATATCTTATCAACGTAAAGCAAAAGTAATTGAATTCATAGTGTGGTCTCAACCGGTGAATAAAGAGACTTTACATAAAATAAAATACATTCTTGACACTATACATACAAATCTTATCAAATAATACTCTTTTGCCATTTCATTTCTCTTTTCGTACATTTTTTCAGCATTAAATTACTGTAATTTGATCTCTTAAGTCGAATAATATGCCTAAGACACCATTGAAAATTTTTTCTGCAATATTTCTTCATTATCAAGTCTCCTTATATGCATATGTATAACAACCTAATGAGACTATCCGATCGAAAGTGCATATCAATAAGTCGTAAACTTGCTAGTGCTTATATGCGTCTGATCTTATACGATATTATAGACGAGACTCCGTCAATGATACGTCTACTTCCCAATGAATAATTTCAAATTATAGACTCAGCCACATCTAATTCAAGTAGTGAAAACGATACCTAACAATTCACATGTCAAGCAAGAGTTGTTTATAAAATTGATAAAATTATTACGCTTATCAATTTCACTTAGGTAAAAAAAGAGAATGTTTATTAAAAAATTATCTTTCAAAAACAACTCTAAATAAACAAACATTTTAACTGATAAAAAACTATAATAAAGTACAGAGATAAACAATTATTGCAAAAAAAAAAATTTGCTGAATAAAAATTACTTTTATTTCAAGAATCCCTAGACGAGTAAAATTTATGTACATTTGATAGATTAAACGGAAACGAAAATTAAAATATTTATCAACTTACTAGAAACATTAAATTCAATTGCACGATAAAAAGCAAATATGTTAAATTTATACATTTAACTCTCAACTAATCAAGATATAAAAATAATTAACAACACTTTGAATAAATCTCTGTTAATTCTAATTCAAAACCCGTTATGAAGTCAACAGAATTAAAATACTCATCAGCATTGGATTCAAGCAAAAAGTTCACACATATCTCCATAAAAAGTGTAATGATAATAAATAATAATTTACATCAATATTAATAATAATAATGAAATGGGAGAAAAAGTTTTACATTAAATTAATTGACCATGTGAAGGATCAGATATATTTAACGATCACAAAAAAAGTGCTTTCAATAAAACTTACCCAGAGCCGGCAATATAATCCAGCATAGTAATCTTCAGCATGATTATACTCAATGATAGATAAAAAAAACACTTTAATAAGAAATGTCTTCGTTAAGGTTAGAAAATGTTTTTCACTTGACTTGACAAGCAGTTCTTGTAACCTATCATAGATCAGTAACCGTTGCCGCTACTGCAATCGATCTCTATTTGTGTCCCGATAGTTTTATTAACGATCAATTCCTCCCTCTTGAATACAGAAACACATGAATCCAACGAGGACCAGCAATTACCTGTCGATATCGAAATCCCGTTATCATCATCCATGGCAAATGACGCACTGGCCCATGACCAGATCATACCAGGGAGTGTTCAACCCCTGATATGACGGATAATAATCAGAGCCTATCAATTCTCTAAATGCTCTTCAAGCTGATCCAATATCTACTACTACAAATCGATTTTATTTATTCACTTGACAATTTTCCAAACCACTTTCAAACAATATTTATTAATGATTAGAATGAGAAAGAATGTTTTTGCAAGTAATTTCTGGAAGTGATTGGTTGGTATCAAAAAGTCTTTGATGACCGGTACAGTGAAGAACATATGAAGCAGCGATATGTCAACGCGTTAGAGTATACCGAAGGACTGTTTTAATGCTCTTGTCCATTGCATTGCCAGTGGCACAAACTCCCTCCAATCGCTCAGTCTCTTGCTCACTCATGCTCTTCAAGTCTATATGTATTATATCCCTCCTCCCTCGCACTTGAGAGTCGCGAACCAAGCACCAGAATACCCGTAGTGGGGTTATATATGCATGAGACATTGTTGCATGAATACGTGCAGCCATCCACTAGAGAGGTAAAATCATTGGAACTGGAGCATTCGAAAAATCACCCACCGATTTCAGATAGAGTAACTCGCGTAGACATGATTTTTATGGAAAAACACCTGAGGAAAAAACGACATAGAATAATGGGGAAGACACTCAATGGCCTGAAGGGACACTACGGCAAATCGACTCGCTTTTGATCGACCTCAATTTGTGTCGATCAGACTCCGTTGCGTGAAGTCATGTTCTTCTTTTTGCTAATTTTTTTTCATTCTTTCATTAATGAGCGAGATCCATTTGGAATTTGCATGTAATCGAACGACTTCAGGATATTTTTTTAGGATCAAATCATCCTCAAATTATTAGCATTTTTTGTAAAAAAAGATGCTCCTTCGTCGTTGAAGTTCTTATAAATTAGTGCTTTTCACATCGAACGATCGAGATTCAGTATTTAATTTACATGCTGTGAGGTAATGTATATTTTTGATGTATACATTTTTTGGAATATCAAAAAAATATTTGGCTTGAACAAAAAATCTTTTTTATCGACGCACAAGATCCCTAACAGCTTTAGAGAGTAATTAGTCAGTGATTTACAGGATAAACTGTACAGTTAACAACCTTCCTACAATTATTGGCATGTTCAATATAAAGTCAATTAATTAAAATGGAAGACTACGAGTGCTAATACTTGTTCTCAACGTGACAGTCATTTTATAGTTTACCTCACAGTTTTCAGACTTAAATGAGTCGAAATAATTTAGAGAAATTAGTTGTACAATTTAATCTTAATTTAATTAAAAAGACTTTAGTATACCGAAAGAAATATTTTGCTTCTGTAACAGCCTCATTTCTAAAGTGATTATTGAGAAAATATGCACTCAACGAATTTTTAGATTCTTCGAAAAGATTTTTATATTAGAGATAAACTTGAAAAAGAAAACCAAAACAACCATATCTTGAATATGGTAGTAATTATTGCTAATAACTTTTTTCAAATAATGATTGTTAGAACAAAATTATTTTCATTCATAAATGTCCACTTTGTTACAACTGCAAACTGATCTTTTCCCATCAACACATTTTCTTTATTAAGCTATTCGAAGTTAAAATTTTTGTAGAAAAGTTTAAAATTAACTTAATGAAAATTGTTTCAAAACATTATTTGAATTTTTGATGCGAGAACTAATGAAACAAATTCTTCAAGATATGATTCAAAATAATTCTCACTTTTCAAATAATATCATTCTAATTTTATTCACCGATGAGATTCAAATTGAACTACTCGAGAAGAAACTAGTAAATTTTTTAAATGATTTAAAAGCATTTTCAAAGAAAAATTATATAACTTGCTAAAGCTATTGAAACTTGTTTTGAATTTACTTTGATTACATTCGTAAAATTGTAATTAGATGAACACATTTTTTGTTTAAATTGACTTCTGTCTAGATCATTAAGCTCATTGAAGCTTAACATGATCTTGTTGGGTTATCACGTACCATGAGATCCCTGAATTACCCTTGAATAATGGATGCTGCAATTTCGAGTAGTCCTATGGAATCTCGTTGAGCATAGCTCAACAGGGTTGAGAGGATTTCAGATTTTCTAGTGGGGTACTATTACACTTAATTGTAGAAATTAGTGGGATGAATACTCAAATAGGGTATTTTAATCTTTCAAATGGATCTCCAAATGTTCCTGATTCAAAATTAAAAAATTCTTTTCACTAGTCCTATGAATCTGTCTACGTTGCTGTTTGTAAATTTTTAGTTGAATGATTGTGTCAATCACAACTCGACCACAATAAAAATGTTTCATCTCTTTGATGCTATTCTACCTTTTCTAACATAAAAATAACGATTGACTGGAGTAAGAATGTAATTCCAGTTTATGGTTGATGAAAAATTGAAAAAAATTTTTCAGTTATTAGAACTGACTATTTGTGGTGGCTTGTTTTAAAAACATATGTATATCATTTGTTCCTATTAAAATAAAAATAGTGGATAACTTATTCTATTATTCTTATTTTTTGAATTAAAAAGACACCTTGATTCATTCTTCATTGTCACTAAAGTGACAGATAATAATTAGTTAAAAAAAAAGACAAAAATATATCTATTAAATGGAAGTTAATTACAAAAAAAGATCAAATATTTAAGTATAATAAAAGAATAATTTGAAAGATGTCAGAATTTTTTTATCAAAATTATTATTTCTTCAAAATGAAACCATGAATCATTCTCACTTCTTCAAAATCTCCATATGTATACAATAATTTTCCAGAACAAAAGAACAAAAATAAATGATCATTCATTTTATCCTTACATCATTTTTCCCTCCGTTCTGTTTCTACAACCTTTACGTATTAGAAGAAAAGAAGATTCGTTTGTTCAGTGCCTCCACGTTTCGCATAGAAGGTATTTATCTTCTGATAAAGACTCACTATCTTCTATTCCAAGTCTCACTTCGGTTACTTTTATGTTTTTATCATACTACTTATTTCTCTCTTTGTATAATCTAGAAAACGAGTATATTCTTGATGAAGAAACTTCCGCATAACAAATTCAGTAAATTCCTTGAAGATGATTTATGTCAATAATAAATATCGTTTAAAGTTTCGTTCTCGATCAAATTCTCGAGCAAACTTTCATGTTTTCTTGAAACAATATCAGCAGATAAAACACTCCAATATTTTCTCACTTTATTACATTACTTACAAGTAACTTTGATGCTTTTTCATTTTCATTCTACGACGATGAAACAATGAAAAAACTTTGGTAGCACAGAAGAATAGAAGATATAAGTCACACAAAAGAAAAAGAATAAGAAGCCAATGAAAATAATGTTTTCCATTTCAGAAAGAAACACATTTAAAGGGTTTCTTGATTTTTTTTATTGCAATTACAAACGTGATGTGGCCTCTTGTTGCCTCCTCCACTTAGTTTCCACCTCGCATGCCTTGCCCTCGTGCCTCGTCGTGGATTGTTATGTAGTACATTGGCTGCACACATAAACAGGTAAGACGACCATAGTATAATCCCTGGAGCTCACGATCTGAGAAGCAAGATATGGGGATTCTGGGGGTCTCCTTCACTACACCGCGATCTCTCGCAAGTGAAGATCGTGCCTCTGGTGATGAAGAGAGAGGAGAATATTTTAGAAGGAAGAAGGATGTTCAACATAGGCTGCTTCTGGAGGACAATCTCCTTCATCATCCACTCAATTCTCCTTCCAGCATTGTTGAAAGTTAATCTCAGTATTTCGACGCCACTGCAACGAGCATCTGAGAGTCCATATTACCAACCACAGGAGCCCGAGATAGATCGATCTCTCAATGCATCAACTAAGGTATTGATTTACTCGCTTCCAAAGGAACTTTATTTACGACTTGAGGCCACGAGAGGTCTTTGCTTACTAAGATTGATTTTTGAGTAGTCTTTGACGATGGTCATCTTCCTGTGGAAATTTTTATCAAATCCATGTAACCCAAACATATAAATCAAGTAATAGGAATCTTTGCGAGGGAAACTCTGAATTATCCATAGATTTGCAAATCTCCCGAGTTTGCATCTCATGAATAACTTTCCGCGAGAAAATCTTTCAGGAAAACTACATTTCCTTCACGCTTCCTGCTTCTTCTTCTTCCTTTTTTTTCTGTGAAGCAGAGAAAAAACTGTCAAGACAAATTGATAGAATTACCAGTCATTTTTTTCCTCATCTGCTTGGTATCTTCATCATGATCAAGCTTCAGAGCGTCTCGCACGTGCGCTGTCTCATTGTATAAATTAGTAGAACGGATTGTTGATAAAAATCAATGGATGCTAATCGATCATCTGATGAATTGTCAATAGTTTCATATTCGTTTTACTCCCTTTTATATTATTCTCCTTCATCAGTTGTCTAGATTGCATTCTCTCAATCAATGTGTCATGTCATTCCCCGCTTTATCGCAATCTACCGTATCACCAAGTGATCTCCCTCCATAAAGTGTCAAAAACATTACGACATGCTATTTGACACACTCATTTTATGTCTTTCAAATATTGCAAAAGGTCATCAAAAACAAAATTTTTAAAAACTTTTCAACTTTGAAACATCATTCAGATGACCTTTGAACTATGACTAGCATCATAAAAAAAATTTAATAGTTTAAAATTTTCATTTATAAAGTAAAAACGTGCATTTAAAAAGTAAAATAACAATGAAAAATATTTAATGCATCTAACGGGAAACTTTTTATTTCATTTGCAATTAAAATGAAAAACATATATGAAAAAATTAATGGTGAAAAAGAAAATAAAATATCCTCGTAAATCCTGACAAATCAATTAACAGCTTCAGAAGAAGGTCAGAGGGGTTATAAGCTTAAATCTGATCCTAACACAAGTCAGTTATGAGCAAAATAACATTTTTCATCTTGTTCAAATGTAAAATATTTTTTATGAACATGCTTTTTTCCCTAAAACAAATAAAAAAATGCTAATAAAAAAATATCAATCCAAAACTATCTAAAAAAAATTAAGACTTTTGATTAAAATGGTTAGATTCATTTTTAGATCATTAAATAAAGGATGTTATTTTAATTTAATCAATTCGTCCAATAACAATTTCACTATACACAAAATTTTTCTTCCAAAGAACAAATAGAATTTTCTATAAAATTTCAGTATTTCTTATTTGGAAAGAAATTGAATAAAGAATCATCAAAGGCTGTTCTGAGTCTAGAAAAACATGAATAAATTGGAAAAAGATATGGATCTTAACAGAGAGTTGATGTACAAAAAATTGAAATGTATTCGTTTTTCTTTTCAACGTTGCAATTT